CTCTTCCTCCCCCGCCCTCTTCCCTCTCCTCTTCTTCCTCCTCTCCCTCCTCCTCCTCTTCCTTCCTCTCACTTTCCCTCTCCCTCTCCTCCTCCTGTCCCTTTTTCTCTTCTTCCTCCTTTTCTCACATTCCTCCCCCGTCTTCCTCCCTTTCTTTCTCAGTGCTAGAGATGGAACCCAGGGCTGAAACCTCTATGAACTGTGTATGATACTTGTGTATGATAAGCAAGCATTCTGTCCCTGAGCTACACCCTGGGCCCCATAGCCACCATTCTCAACCCTGTTCTAAAGATGAGAACCAGACTTGGAGTTCAAGTAACTTGTCTAGAGGTCACATAGCTAATAAGTGTCAGAGGCAGTGTGAAAACGCAGCCGTCTGATGTCTGGCTTGTCCGTAGTGCTGCTTGTCCCTATTAAGGAGAATGTCATGTGTGTTTTCTTTTAATAAAATTTTCCTCTAGTCATGAAAACACAGCTGCCTTTAAGCAGGAACAGTGTTCTGTTTGAACTACCTTGTGAGTGTCTTTGTTTTAGATTTTCTATCCCTTACTCTCTGATCATGAGATGGAAAAGGAGAAAGAGACCTCCCTCCAAGTAGAGCTCATCTTCTAGCTCCAAGCACTCACTCAGTGCCTCGTCTAAGTCAGGATTCCTCCATTTTTGTGTCTGTGGAGCAGTAAGAGTCAATTTTTTTAACTGCCTATTATTCTATTCTGTATAACCTTTTCTTGTAGCGAAGATCTGAGAAACCCAGGCCTTTGGAAAATGCCATAAAATAAATTAAATTTTCCTGGGTACTGCGGTTTCTGTCTGCAGAGCCTTTCTTTTTGGCTTTTGTACTAAGCTGAATGTTCCTCTAAAATCTTCAGTTAAACCTCCAGCCCAAGTGTGCAGTGTCCTGAGTCCTTCCGTGGCACCCCAGGTGCAGTGTGCGGATGTCCTAGGCTTCCTCTCCCTTCATCAACACCCACCTCCCTGCAGCATTCTGCAGCGGGGCACGTCGCCACCCTGCTAGGAAATCAGTGGGTGTTCACTTAAGAGGAGAAAGAGAAAAAGACACAGTCGCCAAAACAAGCAAGTTCTTCCTATTCTTCCCTGTCTGAGAAATGTTCCACACCTCTCCCCAACGCCCGATGCGACGCAGTCCCTGCCAAAGAAAGCTTTCTGGCTCTAGAAGCAGGCTTGCTTGTGAGCCCTCTGCCTGGCAGCGTGCCCGAGTGCAAATTTGTGTATGTGGCATTCTGATTTCTATTTATTTTCTCAGCCTATTGAAAATAGGGTCTTTTCCTCTTTAAAGTAAATTTTGGAAGTGAAACACTTTTTCCTTTTTGTGTCCAGCCCTTCCCCGATACAAACCTCCGGGCATTTTCAGAAATGGCTGTGCAGACTTGCCCCAGACCACCACCTATCCACTTCCCCTCAGCCAGCTTTTCTCTTCCATGTTGACAACTGTAAAAAATACTGTATATCCAGCAACTGATAACCCTGAATAAACATGGGCCTGGACAGATCATACCGCTTTTATCACTCCTTTCCACGTGAGTCAGCTCTCACCGTGCGGTGCCGGATCTGCTGCCCTGGGCACTGGGCCGCAGATGGAGCTGGGCCTTAGGCACCAGGAGGGAAGTGGAGGCTGAGTTCTGACTTCACAGTCATACGTGGAAGACTAAAAAAGGAAGAAATAGTCGCTCGTGTGGTTTATAAACAGCAAAACAACATAGCACATTTCCATTTATCTACTGTTCTGTTGAGTATTCTTAATAGACATTGTTTGTTCCTTTCAAAGCCTTTACAAAGAGAAATGGGTTCCCCTGCGTCTGTCATGGAATGCTGTGGAAACATGTGTTTTCTTTTTACACATGTGTTTAAATAGCTTTGGTTATTATTTACATTTCTCCCCATAATATACTCAATCAAAACATTTTATAGCCTTTCATCCACACATGAAAAGCTTAAAAGGGCAGTAATGAAAGCAAGTGCCTAGAAGCCCTTTGGTGAATGTGCCACAATTTCACCAAAGATTATTTTTCCAGCAATGGGCAATTTGTAACACTTGAAGTTTTATACTTTTTACTAAAAGTGTGCTAAAGCAGTGATGACAGCACAAGATGCTTTGCTTTCTCAAAAACTGGGGAGACTATAGAAGTGAAAAAAAAAACCTCTAAACTTTCAGGAGTAATGTTTCCACTTATTATAGTCACCTGTTACAGATATTGCCAGGGTTGTGATGTCTGATCCTTTGTCCACTTTTTTTTTGGTACTGGGAATCGAACTCAGGACCTTGCGTTTGCCAGGCAGCCTTTGTCCACATTTTAATTTTATAAGAAACTAAAATATGAAGAAGTCTGATAGAAAGACTTCATAAAAGTTTAGAAATCTTTTCATCACATGACGCTGTTGTCAGACTTCGCCTTGACCCCCCAGAAATGATCCTGTGGGCTGGTGAGGGCACTGCTTCTTTCTCTACCCTAGCCCCTTCTCTCAGACTCCACTACCCCAAGCATCAGAACGATGACAGTTTTTACCCCACAAAACCAGGTCTATCTTGCCTTTGCATAGTTTCAAGTTCTGTTGGAACTTGGAAGGATCCTTGGAAGGATCAGTTCTGTTGTAAGTTTTATGATGATGCAAGTCCAGTATTATTTTTGCATTATACAGGTTCATTTCCATTTGGAGCTGGAATTTTTACTGACAAGTGTCTGCATCCCATCTCCCCTCTGGTAGTAGAGATTGAACCCAGGGACTCATGCATGGCAAGCAAGCAATTCTACCACTAGTTCTATGCACCCAACCCTTTCTGTGTATCTCGAAACAAGAATGTTCGCAGCAACTCTACCAAGTCCCCCTGGACTCTTGGATTCTGGAAAGATCTTTGTCATCACATACTGCTTTGTAAGACTCAGCAAATATCCAACAAATTGCACCAATTGTCTGAAAGCCCTGCCCTGTAATTCCATGAAGACTGACAATTTGCTTTTAGATATTTCAAAGACATATCCCATTTGCTAGTCAGGCAGAACTGGTTGGCACTCTTTTCTGCTAAAAGTGGAAGAATGGGAGAGAAAACCTCTGTCTTTTAAATTGACAGAGAAGAGATTAAAAAGACTCTTTTTTTTTTTTTTTTTTGGTGACCTGGTTTGTCACAGTATTTTTGGTGGTAATAGTCCAGTGGAAGGCCTCCAGTTCTCCAGTTTTATCCAGCTCTCTTTCAAGCTTCCTTATGGGTATTAATATTAGTGATTAGAGGAGAGTACCGAAAATTGTAGTTTCTTCCACATGTTAGGAACATGGTAGCACTGGCTTTGTGTTGTCGCAGTAGTGTAACTGCCACATAGCAGATGTATGTGCATGTGCCCAGGGGTGGAGTGCGGTGAGGAGATAGGGAGACCTCCAGCAGACAGTGCTTTGGCACATCCTGGTTGAAGTCTTGGAAGGAACTATTTTTCCTGGGTTTGATACATACTACTAAGTACTCTCACTGCCTCCCCACTATAAAACAGGGGCCCTTTCTCATAGAGGTAGCATATAATTCTGTTTTAATGTGTTTAATGGTTGTTTACCTTGGCCTGTTCGTTTCTTGGGAATTCCATGTCTGTCAACACTACAGCAGTAGCATTCCCATATCTAGAATTGCATATAGTATTTACAAGTTTGTCTATTACCTTTGCCCCCTACTTTGGCAAGGACCTCTATCATAATGCCAAGATTTTTAATACCGATAAGAAAGTTTGAAGAACTCTGACTGAAGAGAGTAAAGGACGTAAATAAAGAGGCTGCAGTGTGGAACAATGCACTATAGTTTGATGCTTTGGGACTGAGATTTGCTGACTAAATATCTTGGGAATTTTGGAGACTAAAACCCAAATGATGATTAAAAACTAGAGAGCTTTCATTTTCAGATTCTCTAACATGGCATCCTAACTATTCTAATTATTTAGAGTACAAGTAGAGCATCTATAATTATGACTTTTTATACTTGCTAGATATTTTCAATCACCGATATCAACTGTTTATAATCAAAACAGTTTTACATTCAGTACAATAACTTCTGTATGCTGAGCAAGAATATCTGCTTCCTCTGATACTATAGACACCCTGTCTCAAAATGAAATTGCTACAGGTTTTTGAGTGAGGTTGGTATTTGTGAAGCATTAAGAACCCCTAGGTTATTCCTAAGGAGTTCAGTGGAAGCATATTTAATAACATTGAATACCTTAATTATATAGCTTGTTTATATTTGTTATTCTACCAAAGTACTGTCATTACTTAAGAGTCTAAATTCCAGCCCAATTAAAAATTCTTTTAACTGTTTGATCACGAGCCATGTAACCTAGTAGAAAACTCGGCCAAATATGTTTTGTGAAATATCATGAGAAAATTATCCATGTCTACATTAAGCAAAAACAAAACTAACTCCACATAATCTCAAGGATTAAAAATAAAAGATGAATGCCCTGGAAAAGATTCTAGTTTCAAGTTTTAGGCCAAGGTCATATTGCAATTCTAGGGTCATAGATACATGTATATATCCAAGTAAATGTGCATCTTTGTGTGTTTCTGTATGTATTCAGTGAATGTATGGATATGTATATGCCTACAAATACAAATTTCTGCTAAAGAAAATTAAAGCTACAAGGCTAGAAAAGGGGACAACAAAAATATGATTTCCTTACAAATATTTGCAAGAATTTTACTTAATTGCAACCAGAAGCCTGACCTGGAAGTGTAGTGTTTTGACCCCCTAGCTGTCTGGTTTCCTATTTGTGGTGTTTTGCTCTCCTCCAACTGTGAGAAAATCTATTTTACTTGGTTTTAACCCTGTGTATTCTTAGAAACAGTGAAGTAGAAAGTATTCCCTTGAGGGAGAAAGAAATTCTCGTTATTTACAAGACTGACTTGTAAAAGTTCCTCTTAAGTGGAAAACATTTTTGAAGCACTTAGCAAATCTTTCTTTATAGGATATTCTTGAAAATAAAACAACCTCTGGTTTTCCCTTCTAGGTAATGTGAATTTTTGGAAGACTAAGGTTTTGGCATTGTGTAAGTTTATCTTTATTTCAGTAAAGTATTTTTAATAAAAAGTATAGAGTTTAGAAATAATCTTATGAGTATTGTTTTCATATCCCGTCTCAGTTTTAGATCATTAAATCTATTTTTCTCTAACCTTTCAGAAAGTAAAAATTAGGCTGAATAAATTTTGAGTGACTGTAGTAGTATATAATATTTTAATGAATGTAAAGACTGGTGAAATTCAAATAGGACAATTGTTTAGGTGAGGAAGTCTGCTGTTGGAAAATTACAGTCTCCATGCATCAAATGTGCATGGACACATTTGACACATTTGCTGTAAAGCAATAGGGAACATTTTTCCATGTGGTTTCCTGTAAATTGCAGTGAGATCAATTGATCATGTCTCATTTCCGAAGGGTCAGGTATTTTCTGTTAGAGGAAATCATCATTCGTACATATTTTTTTCAGAGGTTTAAGAACAAAGATTATTGAACATTCCCATTTAGCTGTAAAACATTTTCTTCCATTCTTTTCTTTTAAATGAAAGCCTTGTATATAATCACATATCAGATAGTATGACCATTTAAAGTGTGCAAGTCAGTGCTTTTTGTACATTCACAGAGTTGCACAGCCATCACTGAAACCCATTTTAGTATATTTTCTGCACTCCTAGAAGAAACTTTATACCCATTAGCAATTACTACCCATTTTCCACTCCTACACACTTCACTCCAGCCCTAGGCAATCTCTAGTTTACTCTCTGTCTGTATAAATTTGCCTGTTTTAGACACTTCATGTAACTGTGGACTCATGCACTATGTAGTTCTTTATAACTAGTTTCTTTCACTATGTATGATGGTTTTAAGGTTTGTTCATATCATATCATATACACCAGTACTGTATGTGTACTATATATGTACATTTCTTTTTATTACCAAATAACGTTCTCTGGTATTGTGTATCCATTTATCAGTTGATTGACATTTAAATTTGCACTTTTAGGCTATTAGACTTCATTTTTTTTTTTTCTTCATTGTACTAGGCATCAAGCTCAGGCCTAACACATACTCAGCAGAGCACTCTACCATTGAGCTGTACCCTCAGCCTTTGGATGCCATGAATAAGGCTACTGTGGGCATTTGTGTACAAGTTTTTTAATGTATACATGTTTTTATTTCTCATAAATCTATACCTAGGAATGGAATTTCTGGGTTATTTTGTACCTCTTGTCTAACATATTGAGGAGCTTTCCAGCTATTTTCCAGTTGGCTGCGACATTTTATATTCCTAGAGTGTGTGAAAGTTCAGGTTTTCCCTCCAAATCCTCACTGGCATCTGTTATTGTTTGTCATTTTGACTATATTCTAGTGGATGTGAAGTTGTATCTCTTGGTCTTGATTTCTGTTTCCTTGATGGATAATGGTGTTCATTATATAATCGAGTATTTACTAGCCATTTCATGTCTTCTTTAGAGAAATGTTTATTCAGATCCTTTTGCACTTTTTTAAACCCTTGGCCATTTTTTGATTGTATCATTTGTCTTTTGTTATTGAGGTTTTTTTGTTTTGTTTTGTTTTAGTTTGGTTTTTGAGACAGAGTCTCACCATGTAGTTCAGGTGGTCTAGAACTCACTTTGTAGCCCAGGCTGACCTTGAACTTGTGATGATCCTTCCGCCTCAGCCTGTCTTTAAATGCTAGGATTAGAGGTATGTGCCACCATCAACCCCATTATTGAGTTGTAAAAGTTCTTAAATATTCTAGATAAAATCTTTTACTAGATATACAAAAGATGATCACAAAATACAGTGAATGTTTAAATTTTTTAAAAAATATATTACAGTAAAAGACACATTGCCAAGAATGATGTGTGTTTGAAGTGTGGGGGGAGGGTAAGTATTTTGAAGATTAATAGCAATGTGTTTTACAGTAATGAGTTTTTTAAATTTAAGCATTCACTATATTTTCATCATGCTGTATATGTTTTGTAAGATTTTCCATGTTTTTTATGAGTTGTCTTCTCACTCTCTACATAGTGTTCTTTGAAACACAAAAGTTTCCAATGTTGATGATGTCCAGTTTATCCATTTTTTTCTTTTGGTGTGCTTTCTGAGAAATAATTGTCTAATTCAAGATCATAAAGATTTACACCTATTTGGGGTTTTTTCTAAGAATTTTTAGGTTTAACTCTTTCATCTAAGTCTTTGACCTAGAATATTTTGAATTGACTTTGTATGTGGTGTGAGGCAGGGGTCAATTTCATTCTTTTGTGTGTAGACTTGCAGTTGTCCCAGTGTCGTTTGTTGAAAAACTATTCTATCCCCCATGTAATTTTTTTGGCTTCTTCAATGAAAAGCAATTGAGAAATGTGAGGGTTTATTTCTGGACTCTCAATTCTAATTTGTACATGCCTATCCTTTTGCCAGTACTATACCATCTTGATAATTGTAGCTTGGTGGAATAAATTCGAAATCACTTTCCAATTCTTATATTAGATATTTTTTTCTTCCTAGCACACTCTTTAGTGCTTAAGTCAGAGTCTGCTTTAACCTAGTCAATGCAAACATAATTTAGAACTGGCATAAACACCCGATTTTAATGAATAAAGTGCTATTGATTTTACCAAAATTTTTTTCCTAGGGCTTTAGATTTATGTTCAAACCTTTCACAAATTTGTTCACTCTCATTATTTCATTTTAACTAAATTATTGAACAGAGAAGCAGTCTTTGCCATGCAGAAATACCACAGTAAGTTTTCTGTTTTGTTTTGTTTTTTTTGTAAGATGTGACTGGGGACACGAGTCTAGATAACTCTTATGTAAAATTAAATGAATTAAGGAATCCCAAGATAAAGTTACTGTTCTCATTCTACAATAGTGTGCTTACTTGAGGCTTAACAAAGATGACAGTCTTTTAGAGTCACTCAGTAGATCATTTTTGTTTAGATTTCCTTTGAATTGTTATTATCTACTTAGAAAAGCTATTCTAAAGATTATAGTCACAGTTCACAGTATAATAAAGGATACTTTTGTATTCCTTACAAAATGTTATTTTCAGAGTTAGTATATTACCTATAAAGGCAAGCTTTAGTCATGATTTATATTCTGAGACTTTGAGACTATATTAATACAAACATTTAGAAGAAAAATGTATCATCTTTAAGATTCCTCAATATTGTCATCAAATGAGGGTGTTTATTTTTAAAAAAAAAAAATCTCCAAAAGAATGTTCACTTCCATTTTTTTTAAACTTACCAGAAATTTCAAATACAAACAAAAATAGAAATGTATAATAAATCTTCACTTACTCCGCACATCAGTTTTTTAACTTACAGCCAATGTTATTTCATTTATTCCTAATTTTCCCTCCCTAACCTTGAGATTATTTTCAACTAAAACTAAGAATCATATATAAATCATTCAGCATAAATAGCTGTGAAGGATATGATTTTTAAATGATCAAAATACCATTAAAGACAAAAGTTCTTAGTGTAACCGTGTATGTAGTCCAACTTCAGGTTTTTCTGAATGTCTGAATTCTTTTGTAAATTAGATTCAAAATGCAAACAAGGTTGATCCAGACATTCATTGCATTTGCTTGATTCTCTTTACTATAGATGTGTATCTGTTTTAACCTACCTCAACTCCCATCGAGTATTTTCCCTTTGTACTTAATTTATAAAGAAAGCAGGAAAAGTGTCCTCTGGGATTTCCCACGTTTGGATTTGGCTGGCTGTATCTGCATGGTAGTGTTAGCATGTTTTTCAGCCCCTGCATATTCTGTAAATCGGGTAGTGAAAGCCTGAGGCTTGATGAGGTCTTTCCTTTGTAAAGATTTTGGTTGCTGTTGTTGTTTTTTCCTCACTCAAGAATACCAGCTGGCAGGTGGGACATGCCTATTGGATTTCATCTGGCACCATGTTGGTTAATGGTTATATCTCTACTAATTTCGTATGTATTTCATGTGTGTATAAATGAAAAATGTAGTTTCTATTCTATGATTTTTTTAAAATCAGTAGTTTAAATTTTTTTGGATTTTTATTACTATTAAATACTACAAAGTTATATATCCCTTTACCTATTCATCTGTTAAACTGCCTAATTCAGTCAATTAATGTAAGAATAGAAGGTGTTGTTTCAAAATAAAATCTGAGCATTAGCATGCACTTAGTTCCTTTTCTAACTTGAGTCCGTGTGATCTGATTTAGCATCTAAATTATAATTAGAAGTCATTGCGTACCTATAATTTTAAGTTTTTTAAATATCAAAATAACATGTTTTATGTGAACTTATAGAAGATAAAAATTATGTAGTGTTTGTAAAATTCTGTGAAAAATAGATCAGCAGGCATTTAAAAAGAAAGCAAACAAAGAAGGCGTGAGATCTGTTCTTTGAAATCCTCCAGAGTATGATAATAATTGAGCTAATATGCATCGGCTTCTCATAAATTGCCTTGGTAGTCTGAGCCTCGAGTGCCTTAGAAATTACCCTTCTCCCCATGCCTCTTCATTGTTGCTATAGTGCTCCTGCTGAAGGCCTATTTGTTTGTGTTTAAAGAGCTAGAGGAACTGACCTCTTATATTCACTGTCAGAATTTACATTTTGTGTTTGTCTTCCAAGAACTCCATAAAGCGCTCTCATTACTCTGACAATACTCTTACTTCTTAGAGTAATGCATCTCAGTAAATCAACAGAACAATATTTAGAGCTAAGTGACTTGCAAACCTGACTGTGCATCAGAATTCCCTGGAGCTCTTTACAAAGAATACAGCTTTCTGGCACCCACTTCGTATCTGCATCGCATTCTTAGGGCCTGGGGATACGAGCATTTTCTGTGGAAATTCACATTCCCTGAGTGATTTAGATATGGGTTGTGGACCCACAACTGGGAATTGAAGAGACTCTAGACTTCACCTTTTGAGCAGAGCTGCCTGAATGTATTCCCAGCCTTGACCTCGCTCCTTGGCCTCCACAATTTATTTTCATTTTTTTTCCGGACAACTTTACCCAGATCCTTGTTCCTAAAGCATAGCT